TTCTCTCATAAAGGCAGGTCGCCTTGGATTTGGGGCCCACTCTAATCCAGGATGATCTCAACTCAGGATTCTGAACTTCATTATATCTGCAAAGACCCTTTTTCCATATAAGGTCACATTCACAAGTTCCAGGGATTAGGACATGGACAAATCTTTTGGGGCGCAACGATTCAACCCAGTACAAGGGGTTTGCATCCTAATGAGCTGTGTGTGCATGGAGTGGAAACTGGGGGCTACATCAAACAGGTTTCCCTGGGCTTCTGGAAATACAGCGAATGTCCCCACTGGAATTCATAAGCCAGTTGAAGACTATGATCAAGGCTTTCCATGGGTCACAGAGATGGGCATTTGGTTTTCTGAGGGGGGTTCTGGTGGCCCCACAAATGATGAGGGAGGCCCACTGGGTGTGATCCTGCTGCTCCCCTCGACACATGAAAGGGTGGTAGTAAGAAGACACAGTTGAAACCAAGCAAAGAACAAACTGCATGCACACAGCCAGGGCTGGGCTGCACGTAGAAGCTTGGGTGCAGCATGAAACCATGACGCCTTTTCAAACGACAGTGTTCAAGCTTTTTAGGCAAAAATTCAGCAACAGGAAGCACCCAGGTGCTGTGGAGCAGAGACTGCAATGGGGGCCTCCCCCTGAAGAGGGATTCAGAATTCCTCACACAACAGCATCATAGCATCACCCCTCAGAAACGCAGCATCCCCTCAAAGTCCCTCCGTAGGCAGCCACATGGTAATCAGCCTCTGTGTCATGCTGCCACAGAGCAGTGAGATTGGAGGCCCTGGCAAATCTCCCACATGTGCCCTGAGGCTCCATGGCACCACATGGAATGTGTTCCTTCTCGTGAGACCAGGGGCCATGACTGAACTGTGCCTGTTGTCTGTTTCCTAAGCAAGGAGCGAGAGCAAGCATGTGTGCCCCTCCCAGAGTGGACCACGAGTGACAGCTGTAAACCAGCTAAACAACCCTGGCTAGAAATCACACTCACTTGCCTTTGATGTATCTGTAAAGAATGGGGAAATAACTACTCTCCAGTGGTTGAAAAGGGACACTGGTTGTTGGAACTGGATGTTACTCCCAGGTTCCCAACTTTTGCCCCAATGGCAATAGAAGAGGGGACAATACACCCCACCCCATTGGGTCTGCAAGTGCACAGCTGCTCAGATAACCCCTTCCTCATCCTCCCCATTACTAAACCATGTCAGCTCAGGGGCACAGATACATCCAGACAACCAAAGAATCCCACCACCAGGCAGAGGGCAAGAGTAGTGTGGACAATACCTGGGCATTACCAGACACAGGCCTTAATAGGAAATAAAATCTCTTTTTGTCCACAAGAATGACAGTGAGCTCCAACCTGGAGAGCAAAGCATCCCAAATTTTGGCAGGCCTCGGGTTGCAAATAAAATACAGGATGCCCAATTAAAATTTGAATTTCAGGGGCCGGCCTGGTGACGCACTGCTACAGTGCGCCGCTTGGGAAGCGCGGCTGCGCTCCCATCGAGGGTTCGGATCCCACATACAGACCGGTTCCCGCTCACTGGCTGAGCGAGGGGCGGGCGCAGCGCCAAGGGTTGTGATCCCGTTGCCGGTCCCGGTCCGGTACGGGCGCGACACTGAGGATTGCAGTCCGTTGCCGGACATGAAAAAAAAAAAAAAATTTGAATTTCAGATAAACAACCAATAAGTTTTTAATATAAGTATGTCCCAAATATTGCATAGGCTATACTTATACTAAAAATAAAATTCTTTGTCATTTAAAATTCAAATTTAACTGAGCAGCCTGTATTTTTACTTGCTAAATTTGGGAATCCTAGGCAAGACCTATATTAATCCATTTTTCTTATTTATAACACAATACCTGAAACTGGGTAATTTATAAAGAAATAAAATTGACTTCCTACAGTTTTGGAGGCTGGGAAGTCCAAAGTCCAGGGGACACATCTGGTGAGGGCCTTCTTCTGGGTGGGAACTCTCTACAGGGCTCTATGGCATGAGCAGGACAACTAACCTTCTCATTTGCTCTCCTTATAAAGACAGCAGTTCCATGCCCATGACAACCCATTAAACTATCAACCCACTGCTACATGAGTGGGTCAATCCATTCACGAGGACACAGTCCTCATGACCCAATCACTTCCTAAAGGNGGTTCTCAAGAGTCTGGAGAGGCATGGCTATCACCCTCACGACCCCCACAGGTAGAGGCTATGGGGGACAGGAGAAGAGGTTCTGCCCCTCAGCTTAGACAGATCTAAGATACCTCATACAGGTACAGGGACAGGCCAGGGAGACGCTGCTCTCACTAGAGACACTGGCGGTGAAAAGCTGCAGGAACGAGGTAGATAGGGGCTCTGGGGAAGGCCACCACAAGTCAGGAGCCCTTGGGTACCCTCTTTCTGTCCAGGTTCCATCCCTGCAGTGACCTAGCTGCAAATCCTCATCTCTGCATGTGCTGGCGCTCCCCTCCCCCGCCCCGACCCCCACGCTGGGCAGGTCTTACTGCTGCCAACCCAACACTAACCGGGGAGTCACGCCTTCCCTGCAGCTATTAGAGATCATCTGTTAACATATCCCACCCAGCAGATACAGACAGCAGACCCTGGAAGGAACAGACCTACAGGATGCTGGAATAGGCCATGATGGCCTTTCTGAGGTGCTAATAATTTCCTTCAGGACTGTATGAGTTTCCTAGGGCTGCTGGAACGATTACTGCAAACTTGGTGGCTTAAAACAACAGAAAGGTACTCTCCCTTAGTTCTGGAGACCAGAAGTCCAAAGTCTAGGTGTCAGCAGGGCTGGTTCCTTCTGGAGGTTCTGAGGGAGAATCTGCTCCAGGCCTCTCTCCCAGCTTCTGGGGGCTGCTGGCAATCCTTGGCTTGTAGCTGAGTCACTCTGATCTTTGCCTGTACTGTCACACCACCTTCTCTGTCTGTGTCTCCTCTTCTCTCATAAAGGCAGGTCGCCTTGGATTTGGGGCCCACTCTAATCCAGGATGATCTCAACTCAGGATTCTGAACTTCATTATATCTGCAAAGACCCTTTTTCCATATAAGGTCACATTCACAAGTTCCAGGGATTAGGACATGGACAAATCTTTTGGGGCGCAACGATTCAACCCAGTACAAGGGGTTTGCATCCTAATGAGCTGTGTGTGCATGGAGTGGAAACTGGGGGCTACATCAAACAGGTTTCCCTGGGCTTCTGGAAATACAGCGAATGTCCCCACTGGAATTCATAAGCCAGTTGAAGACTATGATCAAGGCTTTCCATGGGTCACAGAGATGGGCATTTGGTTTTCTGAGGGGGGTTCTGGTGGCCCCACAAATGATGAGGGAGGCCCACTGGGTGTGATCCTGCTGCTCCCCTCGACACATGAAAGGGTGGTAGTAAGAAGACACAGTTGAAACCAAGCAAAGAACAAACTGCATGCACACAGCCAGGGCTGGGCTGCACGTAGAAGCTTGGGTGCAGCATGAAACCATGACGCCTTTTCAAACGACAGTGTTCAAGCTTTTTAGGCAAAAATTCAGCAACAGGAAGCACCCAGGTGCTGTGGAGCAGAGACTGCAATGGGGGCCTCCCCCTGAAGAGGGATTCAGAATTCCTCACACAACAGCATCATAGCATCACCCCTCAGAAACGCAGCATCCCCTCAAAGTCCCTCCGTAGGCAGCCACATGGTAATCAGCCTCTGTGTCATGCTGCCACAGAGCAGTGAGATTGGAGGCCCTGGCAAATCTCCCACATGTGCCCTGAGGCTCCATGGCACCACATGGAATGTGTTCCTTCTCGTGAGACCAGGGGCCATGACTGAACTGTGCCTGTTGTCTGTTTCCTAAGCAAGGAGCGAGAGCAAGCATGTGTGCCCCTCCCAGAGTGGACCACGAGTGACAGCTGTAAACCAGCTAAACAACCCTGGCTAGAAATCACACTCACTTGCCTTTGATGTATCTGTAAAGAATGGGGAAATAACTACTCTCCAGTGGTTGAAAAGGGACACTGGTTGTTGGAACTGGATGTTACTCCCAGGTTCCCAACTTTTGCCCCAATGGCAATAGAAGAGGGGACAATACACCCCACCCCATTGGGTCTGCAAGTGCACAGCTGCTCAGATAACCCCTTCCTCATCCTCCCCATTACTAAACCATGTCAGCTCAGGGGCACAGATACATCCAGACAACCAAAGAATCCCACCACCAGGCAGAGGGCAAGAGTAGTGTGGACAATACCTGGGCATTACCAGACACAGGCCTTAATAGGAAATAAAATCTCTTTTTGTCCACAAGAATGACAGTGAGCTCCAACCTGGAGAGCAAAGCATCCCAAATTTTGGCAGGCCTCGGGTTGCAAATAAAATACAGGATGCCCAATTAAAATTTGAATTTCAGACAAACAACCAATAAGTTTTTAATATAAGTATGTCCCAAATATTGCATAGGCTATACTTATACTAAAAATAAAATTCTTTGTCATTTGAAATTCAAATTTAACTGAGCAGCCTGTATTTTTACTTGCTAAATTTGGGAATCCTAGGCAAGAACTGTATTAATCCATTTTTCTTATTTATAACACAATACCTGAAACTGGGTAATTTATAAAGAAATAAAATTGACTTCCTACAGTTTTGGAGGCTGGGAAGTCCAAAGTCCAGGGGACACATCTGGTGAGGGCCTTCTTCTGGGTGGGAACTCTCTACAGGGCTCTATGGCAACCAGAGTATCAAATGGCAATAGAATGGCATGAGCAGGACAGCTAACCTTCTCATTTGCTCTCCTTATAAAGACAGCAGTTCCATGCCCATGACAACCCATTAAACTATCAACCCACTGCTCCATGAGTGGGTCAATCCATTCACGAGGACACAGTCCTCATGACCCAATCACTTCCTAAAGGTTCCACCTTCCACCACCAAATTGGGGTTAAGTTCCAACAGGAGCCTGAAGGGACATTCAAGCCACAGCAGGACCCCACAGTGTCTGAACAGTGTCTCACCTGATGGCTTCTGCAATCCGAGTACTCTCCTTTCGCCGGTCACTGGACAACCGGCCAATTAGGTAGGAATAATCCAGGCCACTGCAGAACACACTCCCCACGGCGCTGAGGAGCAGCAGTTTGCTGTCGTCTGTGGCTGCATTGCAGAGTGCTCGCCGGACTTCCTTCATGATCTGCAGGCAGAGATGAATTTGCAGGGATGTTATGTGTCTATGCTGTAAACCTGGGGCTTTCAGACTGCAAGCCAGCCAGAGGCCTCACCCCTTGAGGGTAGAGGCCAGCAAATCTGCTTCTGCCTGTGCAAGGAGTCTCCCCTGAATACAAGCACAGACCAAAAAAAAAAAAAAAAAAAAAAGAAAGAAAGAAAGAAACACTTATCTAAACCAAAGATTTCCAGGGTCTTCCCCAAACCAGGCAAACGAGTGCTAGAGTAAGGAAATAGTGTGGTCCCTGGCTTCAGATCTGGAAGACTGGCTTGGAGTCATGAAATCCCTGGTCAATCTCTGCAAATCTTCTGGCATTTGCTTGTTGATCCCTTTACAAGGTGTGGACAAACAGTCCTATGCACAACCTAGGCATTTCTAGATGGCTCAGCTTAACTCTACTCTTGTTCATCCTTAATTCAGCTAGGACCCTTGTGTGGCTCGCAGGAGGCACATGGTAAGTGGACTCTGGCATCAGACCCAGACCTGGGTGCAAAGTCCTACTGGAATTAGAAACCCTAGTCCAAATTCTGGCTCTCCGACTCACTAGCCATGGGACCTGAGACATGCTGGTTATACTTAATTTCCTCATCTATACGTAAGGGATCATAGTACCCACTTGCAAGGGCTATAGTAAAGAATAAATGAAAGGGAAGAATATTCTATGGTCACCTGCAGGATCACATTCCAGGCAGGTATGGTGAATTCTGGATCAAGAGCATTTTGTTCCTCCTCTTCTTGCCCCTAAAGGTGACATCTGACAAGGAGGAACTGTGTTGGCCAGCCTGCCATCATGGGGCAAGATTCTCTTATTTCCTGCATGAATGCCCTGTATATTGTTAGGGCTCTGGGATCTTGTCTTGAGAGGGGAGCACTACTGGGGGACAGATACAGGTTTTCCAGTTGAGCAGTAGGAGTAACAAGTGCTGCCTTAGCAGTGAATATGTACTGCAGGCCAGGTGCCCTGCCAGATGTGTCACAGCCTCCCAGCAACACACAGGTGGGCACTATTCTTACTCCCATCCACAGACCATGGAACAGAGGCTTGGAGTGGTTAAGACACCAGTCTAAGGCCATGCAATTGGTAAGTGTTGCAGGTGGATTCAAACCCCGGTCACAACAATACCCAGTCTATGCACTTAGCTACTGCAGATCCCCACTGTCCAGCCATGGCCTCCTATGCATGGAAAAGGGGGGAAGTCAGCTCCAGAGCAAGGGACACACCCAAGCGGGGACAGACAGTGCAGGAGCAGCTAGGAGGGCCCAACGCCCCCATTCACAACCCCTCAGTCTTCTGAACATCTTGCATGTCTACCTAATGGTCTTGGTACACACTCTTCTCCCACCTTCAAGGGGTTGGCCTGTCTCCTTGATTCATGAACCCCCCATCCAAAAACAGGCCCCCCTATTCTCCCTTCCTCTCTACCCCATTGGTTTCCTTCATTTATACATTCCCCTGTTATATCTGCTTGTCTGTTCCCTGCCTTTTACTTGTTTGCCTCTGCTTGACTGTGATTTAATAATGACATTTAGGAATGACATCTTACTCCCCACCATGTTCTCGGAGTCTTGCACAGTGCCTGGTATACAATGAGCACTCAACAACTGCTTGTTTAATGACATAGTAACTCTCCCATAGCCCTTTCCCCCAACCTCAGAAGAAAATTGGCCAGGCTGCTTTCTCACGCACATGGAAGATTTTACGGGGCCATCTTGAAAGGCACCTGTGAAAACTATTTAGGAGACTTAAAAGTTTGCACACAATGAAGGCTAATTGCTTTGATGCCCTTCAAAATCATGCAGTAAGTAGGGCCACCCATCTCCTGCATCACACAAGGAGCCATTTTTGGACCAGCCTGACCGTGACAGAGCACTCGCCTATGAGTGTGTTGACCCCAACCCCTCTGGGAGGTGAGTGTTATTATTACTCCATTTTACAGAGGGGGAAACTGAGGCCTAGAGAGAAAGGTGACTTTCTCAAGGCAATGCAATCAGTAAATGACAAAGCCAGGGCTAACAGATTGGCTGGCTCAGAGTTTCCCCCTGAGATGGTTCAGTGTGTTGTTTATGGGACCTGGGCCTCTGGGGCTACAGCTGAGCACGAGCCCCACTTCCATCCCTCACTGCTTGGGGTGATCCTGGGGGAATCCTTAGCCTCTCCTGATCTCCCTGTCTATAAAATTCAGAGCAACCTCACAGATTAAGCTGACCCACAAACAAGATGTATGTAAAGTTCTTAGCCCAGTGCCTGGCACAAAGCCCCACGAGGTGTCACCTTTTATAGACTGACCCTACAGAACATTTGCTATATATCAGGCTCTGCCCTAAGAGCCTTCAAACCTCGCTGTTCGAGGGGTGGCCGTTAGACCAGCAGCTCACTCTGCCTGGGAGCTGGCTAGAAATGCAGCATCTTAGCCCCATCCCAGACCTGCAGAAGGAGATTCTTCATTTTCACAAGACCCCCAAGGTGGTTGACAGGCATGTCATGGTTTGAGAAGTGCTGCTTTAAAATATGAACTTGCTTAGCCTCATGAGCGAGTCACTTTTGTTCAAGCCACATTTTACTAATGTGGAAATTCAAGCACTGTGAGTTTGACAGGTTTGCAGGGAAATGGTGGAGCTGGACCTGGAGTCAGGAAGTTGTGCTCTGGGGTCCTCATCCTTATCCACAGGCTGGGCTGCCTCTACAAGTGTCATGGACCTTTCATCTAAAGCCTTCCATGTGACAGCCATCTGGCTATGGAGCAGCAATGAATGAGCTCTGTGGTGCACAGGAAAAAGCAGACCCTTCTCCCCTCCCAAACTGTGAATTTTATGATGGAGCCAGGGCCCAAAGCTGAGCTCCTGCCACATATAGGCTGGGTGCAGAGGCCAAAGCATCATCCAGAAGCTCAAAGTTTGGGCACTGGCTGAACCTATCACATGCAGTCACACTTTCTGACTCCTTCCAATCACACTCCTGCAGAAGACACCGTCCATTCTGCCTACACAATTTCTCTTGGGAACCTGGGCATTCATGGTGATTCACAGCAGTGTGGCCAGGATGAAAGAGCACAGCCCCTCTAGCCTAACTGCCACCTGTTCTCCATGCCACAGTCAGAACAAGCTGCTCAAACAAATAATTTATCTCTGCTGTAGGAAAAATCTCCCAAAAGAACTTAAAACTCCAAGCCTGCCCTGTATGTGGTTTTGAAGTTCCAAGTTACCATGCCCACAGAAGGGAGAAATCACCAAGTTAGAAAAAAAAAAATTAATATGGAAATTAGACACGGGCTAGTGATATCCCTGAGATATCTTATAGAAATTAATGCAAAAGTACTCTGGAGAGAATCTGCAACTCAGACTGCATGAGAATTATACAGGAAAGTAATCCCTAGAAATCACCAAGTTAGAAAAAAAAAAATTAATATGGAAATTAGACACGGGCTAGTGATATCCCTGAGATATCTTATAGAAATTAATGCCAAAGTACTCTGGAGAGAATCTGCAACTCAGACTGCATGAGAATTATACAGGAAAGTAATCCCTGCTGCAGGTGAGCTCACAATAAAAAATTACAAAACACTTGAAAAAACACAAGTCGACACACTAGCAGGAAGATTACATAATGTAACTTCAAGTAATTGAATGAGATAAAAGAGACTGTAATATAAGGATGTTTAAAATAATCAAAGAGAGGAAAGGATACATATGACTAATAAGCTAAGAAAAAGAAATAACAATAAATGCATGCCTAGAATTACCATATTTAAACTCCAGCACATCAAAGACAAAACAAAACTTTAAGTATATCCAGAGGCAAGAGAAAGCTTACCTACAAAGGGCAAACATTTGACTGGAGGCATAACTCTAAATAGCAGAAATAAATGCCAGAAGGAAAGGAATAAGATTTTCCAGGTGCTAAGGAAAATAACTGTCAGGCAAACTCTTTACCCAGCAAAAGCAAGAGTAAAAAATAGGCATTTTCAGGACATGAATGGTTACCATCTTAGACCTTCACTAAAACAACTAAAAAAGGATGTACTTCAACAAGACAACAATATTCAGAAAGAAAAACTGAGGTGCAAGGAATGATAGCCAGCAAAGAAACTGATGACTGTGTTGAGAAATCAAAATAAGAACTGACCATAAAAATCATAACACTGATACTGACTAATTTGAGGGTAGGGGTTTGTGCAAGGTAGGACTGTAGTACTAGGCAATAATATTGTATAAGATGGAGGAGGAATACCTAGAGTTAGAGCACGTCAAGGTTATATGTTTAGGAGTGGTGTGGAGGTAATGATTACACTCAGACTTTGCTATGTGTACATACTTCTTAAAAGGATAACTTCTTAAAAATACATGAATAACAATGAGCGGAAGGGGGATAAAATAAGAAAGCTCAATCACTCAATCCAATAGAAGTTAGGAAAAGAGAAAAAATAACTGCAAAAAGCACATGGTAATAGAAAATGAGGAATGGCACTTGCCCAGATAGGGCTTACAGTCTAATAGAGCAGACAGTGAATGAATAGGCTTTTAAAAGATCATTATTCATGATTCAATGGGCATAATCCTAGGGTATGAGGGGAGATGTTATCACAGCATTATTTTTAAATTATACTTCTGAAAGAAACCCCATTTATTAAGCACCTAAAAGTCCCAGGGATTACATCAGGTCATTGCCACATAATGTTTCATTCCAAACAAAAATCTTGTAAGGTGAGGAATGGTATCCCAATTTGCAAATGAAGCCATGAAGGCTCGGAAAGGTGAAGAAATTTGCCCAAGGACACACCAGCAGTAAGAGGCAGGACCACGATTCAAATCTCCCACCAACACCCCTTTATGTTCTACTTCTCCAAGCTGTAGGATGACTTAAATAAATGTACAGATTTTAGTGGAAAAAATAGGATCAGATATCAATCTGAACTGAGAATCTCCAAGCCTGTGCTCTGTTGGAAGGACGGGAGAAGCACTTTCCACCC